TGCAATTTGTGGGCCTAAGGAATACACCTTATACTCAAAGCCAAGAAATTGTTAGTCTAAATGAAGTCTTAATGGTCTAATCAAATTAACTCTCAGTATTGCTAACACGTCTCTGCTCGCATCCCATGCTTCTACTTTTATATGCTGCATTTTATTTATGGTTGTATTGATATCTGCTAGTTATAGAAATGTATGTAACAGTAAACTTTGTGCCACAAACTTGTACAAGGCTAAGAAAAATCTAAAGCTAGTAGGGTGGTAGTCATTCTGTTACTAGACAAATCCTGTTGCAGCTAAATAAACCAAAACCAAGGGGTCTGGAGCACAAGTCTTATGAGGAGCGGCTGAGGGAGCTGGGGTTGTTTAGCCTGGAGAAAAGGAGGCTGAGGGGAGACCTCATCGCTCTCTACAACTACCTGACAGGAGGTTGTAGCGAGGTGGGTGTCTCGGTCTCTTCTCCCAAGTAACTAGCGATAGGACGAGAGGAAATGGCCTCAAGTTGCGCCAGGGGAGGTTTAGATTGGATGTGAGGAAAAATTTGTTAAACATTGGAAGAGGCTGCCCAGGGAAGTGGTTGAGTCACCATCACGGAGGTATTTAAAAGACGACATGTAGATGAGGCGCTTAGGGACATGGTTTAGTGGGCGTGGGGGTGTTGGGTTGACGGTTGGACTCAATGATCTTCGAGGTCTTTTCCAACCTTAATGATTCTATGATTCTATAAAACAGAGCTCCAGGCAGGCAAGCCAAGTCTCGATAAAGCCTGACAAGTCTGGAAGCATGTGGTGTTAGCTATTAACCACCTTGTTTGTATTAACAAAGCCTGTAGTCTGTTACTAGCAAAAATAACTGGGCTACAAGGCCACATGTTCTGAACAAGATTTTAAAGGACGTAACAGAGAAATAATGAGTATGAGGAGCTTTTTCAGTGTCAAAAAATACTTGGTTGTGCAAAAAGAGAGTCCTAATTTCTTCTCTGTTGGGTGCTGTTAAGACAATTACTGGAGGGTTTACTCAGTCCACTTTTGAAAAGTGGACTGGGCACCTGAGGTGGCTTTTAAATATTATTTTTATTGTTGTTTGGGGTTTGGATGTAGGTAAGTCTAAGGATTTTGTTTTTATTTATCTTTTGGTATTCATAGTTTCCTTTTTTGGGGTTAGCACCACTTTTTGTTACCTAGTGTAGAGTGATGTGTCATCAGTAACAAACAAACAAGTATTACAATAACTCTTAGAAACAGTACATGCACAGAAACAGGCTTCAGGACTAATACAAAGGATTTGTTTGGATTTATTTGAAGAAAACAAATGATAAGTCATATTTTCCTTTAGGTTTCTAAAATACTGCAGACATATGTACAGAATCATATTGTGTAAAATTAGAGGAATAACAGTTTTCAGGGAGGAGAAGTGTCATAAGAATAGTTCTGACAGGCGCTACAAAGGTGAAGAATCCACCGTGACATTTAAAGCCCCATATTGTTATCAATTTAGAAGCTTTCCAAGTGGGTTGTTCAGAGAAGAATAACTGAGGGTTGTTTCTTATTTATAACTTTAAAGAAGCCCCAAATCTGAAAGATCTCTCTCAAGGGAACATATTTTATTTAAGACAGAATGGTTAAGGTTGTGGTCCTGTTACCTATATTCCTATTTAACTGAGTTCTTTTAAAATTGTCTGCTAGTAGTGTAGTGCTAGTACCTTTCTGAAAGAAAACACACCATAGGTATATTCCTCTTTAATATGTGTAGGTTTTTTATTGTTACTCATTAGGTGATAGTGTAATTGATCTCACTGTAAAGAATATGGAGAAAGGACATGAACAGGCTTTCATTGCCTTGCAGTTTCTAGCCTTATATGTGGTTTATTTTTTAATTAATATTTTTATTAATTTTTTACGTTACACACTTTGCTAGCATAAAATAAAAAGATGGACTTACAGCAAGGAAAAAAAAAATGTAGCAAGGAAACATTACTTCAACAAACCTTAATACAGCCAAATAATGTTTGAGCCCTAAAAGCTTTTTTTAAAAAAACCCCAACTTCTAAACATCAACTTTAATACTATTTTGTAGTGGTTTGGAATTTGGCTACTTAACATACTGTTTTCTAAATTTTTCTAAACGGTTTTGAAATTTCACAAATTTTTTGTTTTTTGAAGTCCAGACTTAGGCCAATCAGAGCATTGTTGCCTGCTCCTCGAGCCTTTCAAACAACTTTCATGGGTTTGTGAAACAGGATTTTGCTTTATACAGCCATGTTGCATTTATTTGTACTGTTCACTTATTCATGTTGCATTTTTTCATGTTACTCATTAATTTTGTTCTCTATTATACTTTCAATATGTTTGCACTGTAGAAAAGTCAAGCTTACCAGTCTGTAGTTGTCCAGATCTTCCTGAAAATCTTGTCCCGATCTTCCTTGTAAATATCAATATAGTTTCTGCCATCTTCCCTTTTTTTGGATGTCAACGTGCTTTTCAGTAAGAACTTAAATGCAATAGCAAGTACTAAAGTTTCTTTGTCTTAAATTTTCTTCAAATCTTTTGGGTGAATACTCTTCTGTGACTTCTCATTGTTGGCTTTGTTTTGTAAGTTCTTCTGCCAACCCCTGAACCTGTTTGTGTCTCTGTTCTACTTTGGGAACTCCTTTTGCACACCAGTAGAACATTTGATGAAGTGTTGCTGTGGCCTTTGTTTTCTTTGGGTACTCCTTTACACTGTGATCTTTTACTGACCCTACAGATTGTCTGGTTGTCTTGTTTTGTTATCTTTGAGGAAAAAGATGTGTTAATCATAGATGCTTTTTGCAAGTTGTCCCTCAAACTTTTTTTTTCCTTTTTTAAAATTTTTTTGTTCTGCTTTAATACAGCTTCATATGAGATCAGCTTTGATTTTTTTTTTTTTTTAAATTTTATTTTCCCCCCACTGGTGACGTTTTGTTTTGTTTACATGTTATAACTTGATTAGTTATTGTCTAAGACTGGAGTAAGTTACAGAAGTCTATCTTAATGTTTTTATTCAGTTGACTTAAATAATTGAATTTAGTGTGCTTTGTCCTATTGACGTCAACAAATTAAAAGCAATAGTTTATTATTATGCAGACTTAGGTATTTGCATGTACTAAGTTTCATAGAAGTTCTGAGGGAATAGAACTTAATTTCAGCTCTTCGTTCAAGTAAGAGGAAGGAGCAAAGCTTGTTCCCTCCTCCTATTACTGTTTTAAAGTTATTGTTGATGCAAGGTATGTTGTATGATGGAGTAATATAAGAATAGATGCTGTCACGGCAGCTTTTCTTCAGGAGAGGTGTCAGATGGGTTAGTACAGTGGATCCAACCACGCCATGTCATGGCATCCTACCTTGAGCATCCTTGTCCTCTCAGGCATGTCCGGAGGTTGGAGAGATGGTCCCAACTCCTGGCTTAGAGTTGTGGGGCCCTTGGGGTTCTCTCTCCAAGTGACTCCAAATACCATCATTTATGGGATTGGGTGGAGAATGCCTGATGCTTAATTGGGTCATTCTAACACTTGGTCCCTAACAACCTGCTGGAGCTCACAGTCTGCTTGACTTGATTTTCTCAACAAGGTCACAGGTCTCACGTTGATTAACAGGTTGTTTACACTTGTTACATCTCTGTTCTCGTAACTAAGCTATTCCCTTCTCCTGTAGTGTTAACTAAAGTTCATCTACATATGCAAACATTGCTGTCAAGTAGGCCTAAATTATGCTGACTGCCATGCACCCCCATAACAGTTCAGCTAAAATAATATATAAAACTACTTTCATACTTACATTCCTTGCGGTAGGATAAACGTAGGATCACGGTTGTAGTCTGTGTTATCATTGAATCTTAGGATGTTCCTCTTGGAAACCTAATGGGTGATGTTATTTCTTACAGTCTATATCAAAGTAGCTTGGCCACCCAGTTCTTCTGGTGACCATATGTAAATTCAGTACTTGGGGAGTTATACGTACTTTGAAGATGACTGATACAGTATGTTCCCTGTATCACCTTTTGCCTGACCATGGCATAGTACATCATCATTTTCTAGGTGATAAAAGGCTCTACAACAGAGAAAGTATTTGAACCAGATTGCTTTACTTGTTTACATAGTAGATTAGGCCAGAAGACATATCCTCATTGACTTGTGCTTTTAAAAACTCCTTAAAATGCTGGAAATACATGAATAACGTATTTCCTGTGCATTGAAGCAAGATGTGCAAACAATGAAGAGGGTAAAAAAAGGAAATAATGGCTGTTGTCATCCTTATTTATGATTAATAATAAGTTGCCATTGTTCTAAAGGCTTGTGAATCTGGACAGTGA